GCAAACCACATCTGGATTTCTGGGTTCTTATCAGAGCGTCTCAAAGCTTTGCTGCTTCTACCAATTAAGTGGAACTAATAAATCAGTCAGGCCTAATAAAACAGCCTGTCTCAAATCATTAATTTTCATGATGTCTACTAAAATTCTTTTCTTTAGCCCTGTTGGTAAGTTTGTTTAGGTGAGGGCAAAAAACCAGAAAAGAACATAATTCTCAGAGCTTGGCTACAGACTGTTGATAGGAACACACTTGAATTCTCACCTCCCATCCAGCTGGATCTCCTCCCCACAGTTCAGAAATACTCCTTATAAAACTCAAATGTCAGGAACACAGAGGCTAAGTTCTTTTTTTAGAGACTGCAGAACTATTTGCAGGAGAAAAAGCCCACACAGCTCTTTGACAGGGACAGACAGAACCCGTATCGTTCCCGGCTCAGGGCTGGGTTTTTGCATGTTCTCACTCCAAACTGGCACCAGGATTTTCAGAAGAGCCGAGCCCCGTGTATTTGCCTGTTCCAGGGCCAGGTTTCACTTGTGTGTTCCTTTAGCCTGTCTCGTGCTGCCCGTCGTGCCGTTGTGTTACTAAACACCAGAACTGCACAACGTGGAGCAGCAAATCGGCAGAGCCTTCTTAGACTTCTAGTCATTTCTCTCAGTGTCTGACTAGGACCCACAAGTCCCTTCAAGGTTATTTTGGCTTTAGGGGCCAGCCCTAAGAGCATGTGGGTTGTTCGAGGAGCACCACTGAATCCAGGAGCACTACGCGTGCTCCTGGGCAATCTACATGGACTATATGTGGGTGGAGACTTGCATTTGCAGGTTTGGGTTTGGAGGAATTGGTTAGCAGCTTGCATCGTGTTACTAAAACAGGGTAATAAATACATAGAACAGGTCATAAGTTTAAAAAGCCTTTGCTTAAAGAGGAGTTCCTTCCTGGAAAGATGTTATCAAGCCCTATTCAGGCAGGATTTCTGGAGCAGGGATTTGCATTCTCCCTTTGGAAGAATGGGAAGCAGGTCTCCTACAGTCAATGTACATCGCAGCTGTGCAAATTAACTTAAGGGAACCAGTAAGGAATGTGGGAATTTAGATTCACTTGAACATTCAGATATGGGGAGGCCACATTCCTTGTTTAATTCTTGTGTGCTTCAAAACATGTGATGGTTGAGAACATTTCTGACAAAAGAATCTTCCTTTCTGAGAATGAAGTTTTGTCAAAAATGAAAGGGTTTGCAGGAAAATGTCTACTTAAAAAAGGGTTTGCTTTTTCTGGCTCCTTTTTGACAATATAGAAGCATCATTTTAACAAAGTAAAGAATGTCAATTTACCATACCCATTTTGTTCCAATGATATAATACATCTTAATACTCTATTTGATATGTTCTATGATAATGTTTTGACGTTAGAGAACTGAGATGACTCAAATGTTATCAAAATGAAATGGTTTAATGTCTTTAAATCAGAATTTTCTAGAACTTTGAAATTCTGACTCAGCTCCAGTTTGGAGGAAAACTCCACTGACATATTTAGCATTCGTAGCAGGGTGATAACCTTGATTCTCAACAGCTCTGGGTTGGTCTCCGATAGTAATCATTGATACTGAAGTGTTACAGACAAACGTTTCTGTTACCTACACCACTGATGGACAAAATCTCTTAATACTCCCTAGGTTCAGACATCATAGCCTTTGCATGTTCCTCCAAGAGACCTTACAGGTCCAGAAACAGCTTCCAAAGGAGCACAGTAGCTCCAGATTCACTTGTTGCATTGTCTGTTCTGCTCTTGTTGCCAACTACAATGTCAAATACTATCCAGGCACCTTTAAATTTCAAGCCATCAACTCAGTTCATCTCAACAGCCTGTTGAACCACCCAGTACATGGTAATGCATTCCACATAACATGACTAAACTCCCTGGATTTCTGCCAGTGGCCTAGTTTACTTTGAGGTCAAGAATAAGAAGTTAAAATTTGGGGCTGTGCTTAATTTTACTATTTTAGAAGATAGCTGGTTTTATTTTTATAAGATTTATTGTTTGTTTATTTTTTTAATAGATTGTAAATCTTCAGTATACTTTGTATCTTTAGGATTATTTTTGTTTGTGGCATAAAAGCCAATGATCCCTTTTTGCTTATTCATCAACTGCAGATAAACACAATACAGTTAAAATACAAGACATAAAAGACGGAGACGCCATAACAAACAAACTAAAGATGCTTACGCAAGGGAAAATTAAACTGCATCTAGGGAAATCACATCACCGAACAGCTCCCTGTTAACATGCGTAGCAGCAAAACATACGCCCAGCATATGTGAACTGGCACACAAAACCCACAGACTACTTGTTGAAATCATCTCAAATGTGCATGAAAAATACCCAGTGGAGGATGTAGGCAGACTTGTATGGAGAGTGCCACAGTTTGAGATGCCCACTCAGGACCAACAGAAAAAATTAAAGGTGTGTTTTTTCAGTTTAGTTAAGATCCTTTCAATGTGCTCTGACTAGACATAAAGGTAGCTTACGTAAAGCCTTCTTTATATTCCTAGAGTAGTACCAAAATGGCCTTGACGTATGATAGTCAAGCCCTGAGGATCAGTCTTCAAAGACTAATCCCTTAGCTTCCTCTGTCCCTTCAGGGCAGTGGATGTTATTAAAGCATATTATTAACATACACATTATTATTAACATATAAAATGTGTTATTAAAGTAATGTTTCAGCCACTCATCAGTATTTACAGTACTACTTGACCTCTTATTTAAATAATAGGTAGATATTCCTGCAATAAATATTTGTTTATGAACAGTGACTTCTGTAAGCCAATGTGAATAGCACTTTAGATGCCAGTTGTATACAAAATGTTTTGCCCTCTGGTCCTCTGGTAACCAGATTGCAAAGCCAGCCTGACTCTGTTGGGGAGAAGCTTGCATTTTTGCTTATGAAATTCCCATCTCTGTGGTTCTGAAGGCTGAAACATGAAATACATCTGCTGTTCATTTCCAAAAAGCAATGGGATGTTTTACACAGCGGTTGTGAGGCTTATGTGTTCGTAGCAACATGCAGATGATTTATGTGCAAACATGCCATGACAGCAGGGAAGATGGGCACAAAACCGTTATCATGGCCTGTGACTATTCAGAGTCACATTCATCAAAAAAGGCTGCAGGAGATAAAGACAGATTAGCATCGATAAGAGGAGCTATGTAACGTGATTCTCTTTTGAGGGCATGTTGTGGACTTTCTGTTGCGTCTTGTAAACGAGAGCTCTAAAGACTGGTTTGCAGAGGCATTGTGTCCCAGTGGATGGTGGACACCTGCCTGCTTTTGAAAATCCAGCCCTCATACTCTTCTCCTTTTCCTTGGGGTGACATAGACGGGGATTCATAAAGAGGTTCCTAATGGTCTTTCAAGTGCTTGTTTTAAGCACAGGTTAGTCGGGAGTATCATCCGAGATCTTGTAAGGATAAAACAGGGTTCCTGGGTTTTTTTCTGCTTTCCCAGATGAGAAGGGCAGGATGAAGAGCAGAGAGCAAGCAGTGTCTTTCATTCTTTGAAAACAAACCGGTTTTATTTGGTAGTACAGCTGAGCGTAGGTGGGACTAATATGAAAGAAGAATGATGAACCTGGGTGACCTTCCACGTGAAGCAGGTCTAAGAAGGGTGGAACTGTTTGCCTTAGAGGCTAGATGTGTTAGATATGAAAAATTCTTAGGGGTAAATGATGGGTTGATAAGTTTTATTTATGCTGTCTCACTGAGAAGAGACACTCCAGGAAAATAAGCAGTTTAAAATTGGTATTCCTTTCCCTCACAAATACATGGTTAATCTCTGGGACTCACACCCATGTGAGGCAAAAGGGCATTCAACAGTCCAAGGCATTTACCAGGAGCATGAGAACAGCCTGAATTTAAGTAGCATAGATTCTAAAAAAGAAGAAGAAATTTTTGGAAGCAATATACCTTCATGTTTTGTTAGCCATATCTAATTAATAGGGCATAGAAGAAAGTTCCTGCTTTCCAAGTACTTTAGAAACAGCTTTCTAAGATCATCCTCTGAAGCTGCCTGCAGTCCATCCTGTACTAGACGGACCATTCATTTAATCTAATATGGCAATTCCATATCTACCATATAGCTGCGTACACTTTGATGGGAGAGAGTGAGTAAAGGAAGGCTGGCAAGAGGAAGAGGAGAAGTATTGTAAACTTCTTTTGAGTGGAAATAGGACACTAACCATGATTTTTGGACTTTTAATATTTTTTTTAGTTTGTTTCGCTGCTTTCACAAGCTGTGTAATCAAGGCCTTGCAATCAGAGTGTACAGAGCTCTGTACTCTTGTTGGGAAGGTCTTGGATGGGAGCCTAGCTCCTGTTGCGAAATGGAAGACACAAACTGTAGTTGTCCTTCAGTGATCTGTGGATAGTTTACCTAAATTGTGGATTATCTAGATTGCAGATAATACAGTTGAAGGCAATGAAATGTTTGGCCACCTTGGCTTAGCTAGGCCTGGCAGCGTGGGGTGTGATGCAGGCTTGTGATCTTGGGCAAGAACAGGGCAAAAGTATGAAGCCAAGTTAGCTATGCTTAAAAACCACCTTGCATGGTGGCGTGAGGGATGAATGGAATATGCTACAGGCATGACACTGGAATGAATTTACCCATAATTATGTCTAACTCGGTGTTATGAAATATCTTTAATTGGCTGAGCAGGAGCATGGCTTGATCCTGTCGTTAGCCGGATTAACAGGCTCAAGGCCTTGGCTTCAGCTCCTTGCTCTGTCTCTGATTTCTCATGTCATTTTGGACAAGCCACTTAATATCTCACTGGCTTAACAGTGTGCAAGTACTTTCCTACCTCCTCTCAGCGTTAGGAGAGTAAGTATATCCTGAATAATGGAGGCAAAAAAAGTAGGCACCTTAGGCTAAGGGTAGCTGCTGCTCGCAAGTGTTTTACATGTGTGCCTCTGGTTATGTCTCTCTCCTTACAGGCAGAGATCAGAGCTAGATTTGCCATCCGACATCACAAGATGATATGAAAAATGCCATGTATTTTTCACGAGGTAGGATGTAGAGCAAATGCTTTTGTTTCCTGTAGGACTGGTTGACATGTTAGAGAATTAGCTTCAATCCTTGGTTTGCAAATGCTCACTTGTTAAGTGCATGCAGGGAAGTGGAGCTGAGATTTCGTGCTGTTGCTGCAAGCTCACCTTTTGTTATCATCAGCAAACCAAGATTTTAAAGCAGTCAGACCCTCCAACACCACCTGATGGAACTCGCATCTAAAACATGGCACGTCTGTCTAGTCTTGCCCTGAGAAGCCGCCTTGAAGATTGCAAATCCTCCTGTCCAGGAGAGACCGTGCAAAGGCAGTAATCAAGACAACGTGTGGAAAGCTTCCCTTTGCAACCTGCACAATTAGTGACCTATTCAGAGAAACGTCCCCTTTTAGCTTTTCACTCTGCTAGACAATTTACCCTGTCTCAGCTGTCTCACCGCATTATGTCCTTCAAACCCCCTAGAATTAACGTTTGGAGCCAGCAGTGTTTGCTGGCTCCACAAGAAAAGCTGAGAGCGGAAAGGTCAGGTCGATTAAAGCACTTGATCAGAATCTTTAACATAAAGACGTCACAGGCAAAACAGTAACGCTACTTCACGCTCAGCTAAGAGCAAATGATTCATCAGGCAAGGCTGCTTATTTTTGGAGGATGGCCACGAAAAGAGAAGAGAACACGTTGGCTGTATCGATCGCGGCTGAAACAGGGGACCGCAGAGCCCCTCTCCAGTTTTGATGGAAATTTAATGTCAGAAATACATCATCCAATGTAAATATATCAATATATATTTTACATTGAATGGATTTTAAAAACATTCTGGCCCAGCTTAGCAGAATCATTTCGTCTCTGCACAAATCTCAGAGCTGTCATGTAGAGGAAAGGGCTATTTTGCAATGCTTTGCACAGCTCGATGCTGCTAAAGATACAACCTTTTTGTGAGCACTTCTGTAAAGGTGGCTGGAGAAGCAGGTGTGCTCTGAAATCCCCAGTGCTTTGGCCTCGAGGGTAGACCTTCAATGGGTGAAGATGTACCAGTGTTCAACAGATGCAGCCTCAAGGATGCTTTCAGCTGGCTTACTCCCGCTGCCTCCTGTGTCCAGCAATGATTGGAAATACTGTTCTAGCAGGCACCGCTGCCCAAGCAGCTGCATACATCTTGTGCTGCCTTCAGTCCCTGCTCATACCTTAAGCAGAGAGCTCCTGCTTACCCCCTTCCAGCACCCCGCTCCATCTATTCCTTGGTAAGAGCAGAGTGGGTCTCTGCAGCGGGAGAGGCAGCAGGCAGAAATGAGAGGCACGTGGTTGTACGTGGAGGTGGGATGAGCTGCTCTGGGAGCTGGCAGCCTGAGGAAGGGATCCAGAAATCCACATTCAAACCCCGTGGCTCTCAAAGGGGGATCATTCTGCTGTGACACCAGCCCAGCTGTTCCCCTCCCTCCTTGCACTCCCCTTCCTTCCTATCCCTCCCCCAGTGCTAATAAATATATACTTAATTCATTTAATTCCCATGGAGGTTTGACATCAAGGCACAGAACTCAAAGTTTACGAGATAAATGAGTGTGATGAAAAAAATGAAGCAATAGTTCAGGGAAGAAAATGCAGCCAAAGAGAATGACTGGTGAAGAGAAGGAAACATGAATTCCCACAGGATCATTCCCCAGAGGAGTGTGTGAAGGGAGGGGGCAGAGGAGTGTAAGTACGGTGTGACGAGGTGTAAGGTCAGGAGCACCAAGAAGTGGCAGTGTGGCAAGCAGGAGCTGCTGTGCAGATTTGCAGGAGTGGGCTTTCAGGGAGACGAAAGCCAGTGGAGGACCCTTCAGGTTGCTGAATCCAACCCCTGCAGTCGCTGGTGAGCAGGAGGGATGGTGAATGGACCATCACAGTGCCCACCCCAGCCTACATCTCAGCGCCTTGTAGCATACCTAAGACCTTCAGCATGCAAGACCAAGTGTCATATGCTGCAAGAAGAGATCAAGACAGCCCCTGCGATACTGTGGCTGGAGGGACAGGAGAGGAAATTACTTTAGCAGCAGTGTTTGGGATGCACTGAAGAGGGGAGGTTGAAGAACAGTTTATTATAGACCCAAAGGGTACATCTGCATTGCATAATACAGCATAGTGTGGAGGCAGTCGCAGCTCTCTGTGCTTTGCCGGAGACTAATTCCTGGAAAGGGTAGCATAGCTGTACTCCTAATAGTCTAAACAAGCTAGCTCTTTCATGGCTAGTGCAGATATCTCTGCACTGCATTGCATAATGTAGACATACAATAAATTTATGTCAATAAAGCGTTTAAAATAATTCAAGGCCAGCTCTGCAATGACAAAACCATTGGTCACCAAAAGCAAAGGAATAAAAGGTGAAATGCAGTAGCAGCACTCCTGTGCCAAAGGTATGATCAGAAACACCCCACAGAGAGCAATACTTCACAATTTTTTGCAAGGCTCTTGTTTTCTCTGTAATGGTCTGCTACCTTTTGAGTCAATGCTCTCCTAATTTAGCCTGCAGTATCATGTAGTACCCAGCACACCCTCAATCTGCAATTGTGACTCTACCAGCCCCTCTACAGAATTAACTCAGCTCTGAATTAGTCATTCGACGTGCCAGCGCATGTAAAATAGACTCAAGTGAATCAGATTTTGTGTGCAGGGACTGAATTGCAGTAAATACAGCGATTCAGAGAATCTCGGTCTGCATCTGGGCTTCCATGTCCGGACGGATACTCTTTCACCGTTGGCCGCACGGCCTCTCCGAGCAGGACAGGCACACAAACGAGCTGGGAATGAAACCCCCAGCACCGCATCATACCTCATACCATATACCGCATACCATACCATACACTGCATACCATACCTCAGCGGTGCTGATATGGCAGCATAAAAAACATGGGGGCATAAAAGAGAAACCTAGGCGAGGGTTGGAGTAAAAAAGTGCCCAATGACAGTAAGAAAAAAAAAAAAAAAAAAGAGAGACACAAGAAAAAAAAATCTGAAAATGTCCTCCTAGGCTGAGCTGCTTCAGATCTGAGTGCCCGTCTAGCAGACACTGGGGAAGGGCACACGCAGCACGTCAGCCTGCATTAGGCTTGCCTGGGCTGAGGGAGCCGAACCCCGTAGGCAGTGTGTCGTCTGGTGATCCCAGCAAGGAGCAAAGTGAGGTGTGCTGGAAACGCTACCTTTACTGGTCGGAGCCCAGTGCAGAAGGCATCCCCCTTGCAAGCTCCGATGTGGCAACTTGAGATGCCAGGGATGCCTGCAGCGAGGTATTTATGAAGGGACATTGAGGAGGGAGATTGATCAGCATGGAAGGCTGAGAGTCTTGGACCTCGTTCAGCCAGAGCTGGGGGAAGCCAGCTGGGTCATTCACCTTGAGGACAGGCCAGTTCAAGAAATCTTGGGCAAGAGTGAGAAGGATTAAAAAGAACCAAAATGAGATTTTCTCCTCATGAAGATATTATATTAATTTTCTCACACTGTTTTTCTCCTGTGGAAGCAGTGGTGACCAGAGTGTGTAACATCAGTGGTACTGCCATGTTGGCAGTATATGTAGTGTGTGTGTGGGGGGGTGACAAGAATTAAATTTTGGTCTTCAGTTTCCAGCACTTCTTTTGGGATGGAATCAAGGCTTATCCCAAATCTAGAAGGGAGAGATCTAGGTTGAAAAGATGTGAGCTGTTATTTTACAAGATTATTTGACTTGTGTGACATGGCTGTCGGTTGGGGCAGAGATGATGTTGGAGATGCTCAGTTCAGCACTGTTGTCTGAACTGGACCTGGTGGGCCACAAGTGAACTCCCAACTTTTAGAGAGCTGATCTTCTGCCAGATGCTGCCTCCCCTGTTTGTTTCAGCCCAGACAAGCTTAGACTTGATCTGTACATCTACCCACAATGTCTCAGCTTTAATTATTAATGATATCCGTAAGAACTGTGACTGGGCTGCTAAACTCTGGATGGGGCTGTGCCCCCAAAGCAATCTAATCCTGATATTTCTTTCTCTGCAGGGGGTGGAGGGAAACGCAAAGGCAAAAGCAAAAAGTGGAAGGAAATCTTGAAATTCCCTCACATTAGCCAGTGTGAAGATCTCCGAAGAACAATAGGTAAGAGCTTTTCCCTTCTTTGGAAGTATTGCATAAATAAAACATGCTCTCAAAACTGGTTCAGCAGAACAGCATTCAGGGTACGCATCATTAAATGGAATCAGTTTAGAGATGGGCATGCGATGCACGTATCTCCCACGATGCTGCCGTGCAAACTCAACATTTTCTGGTTCCTAACAAGGCACTGTGGATCCAGCAGGAGAGACTGGCATAATGGACTTGCAAGGCAGGGTTTGGGGCTGGCAGCAGCCAGGCCCTTTGCTTTGCAAGCACAGGCTCTAGGAGCCAAAGGGACTTCATGGTTGGACAATACCTGGCATATGGGACAGGTGCTTTGACTCGGTACCTACCAGGACCAACGTGGCTGCAAAAGGATTTTCAGAAATGAATCCCCTCATCGCATCCTGCGTTCCCTTGTAATAAGTAGGTCTTATCAGGGAGGAAATGAGACTTGATGAAAGCAGAGAGATTGCTGCTGTCGTTGGAGGTTAATATTAATTATAGTCTGGATATGATGTTTGAAGCAACAGCCACTGCCCTCTGCCAGGAACGTTTGCTCAGCATTATCATCCTCTATTCAAACCACAACCGCAACACTACTTTATCTAGTTTTTTATAGGACATGTACAAGTTTTTTTTAAATTACTTTGTTTTATCAATGTGGGCCAAACAGATTTGGAAGGGAGCTTTCAGTGGCCATTTCCATAACACAGCATTTCTCCTGCTCATACCTGCCAAATTTCAGCATTCTTTTGACTGCTGCCTTGGCAAACAAGGCTAGCAGCCATCTCCTTGTGCATTCTCTATTGGAAAGCCCAATATTACTGGTCTTGCCACAAGAGGTTAACTTCAGCAGTTGAGGCTCCTTTTCTCCCCTACACTGCCATAAAATCCAGCCACTGGCAGTGAATGAATGAAAGGCAAGAAACTGTAACAACTGAGATAAGGGGCAGCATAATTTGTCTAACTTGGGTGAACTCCTGGGGTCTGAGTGACAGTGCCCTGGCACTACTCACATTCAAAATTCACAGCGTGTTTATGCAGAGAAAATATGTGGAATGTTTTGAAACTCTTTTCATGGTCTCCTTCAATAAACTTTGCTTCCCTCATCTTCTGCTGTAGAGCTAAAAGGAGGCAAAGAAAAGAGGGGGGGACAGGAGAAAAGAGGGTAGGTTTTCGCAGTTTATGGCCACTCGACAAATACACAAACCCTGGAACAATTTGTGATGGTATAGAACCTGCTGGAAGCAAATCTGATTTAATATATTGTAATTTGCATAGGGAATTCTCTCTGTTGTTCTGTCAACCAAGGTTCCTACAGGGGAAAATGGCACCAGATAAATTGCTTGCTCTTTACAAAGGTGTAATATCCTAACATGAGTAGCCTTAAAAAAATAAGTCTGCTAATGATTTCTGTTTGTGAAATGCTGTTTCTGGCATTTTTTTGGTGTCAGCTTTGTCCTAAATGTAATTTGTTTTGCATTTTTTTTTGTGAATGAATTAGTGAAGTAACAGGGCAAGAGCCCTTGTGATGCTCTTGGTGGATTTGGCTTCACCGCAAAGATTACCTGTTGACTGGGAATTTTAGCAACTGACTTTTACACAACGGGGAATAAGGTCCAAATCCTTGTTCTGTGACTTTGATTTTTATTGAGTAGCTTTCCCGCTGAGCTGGATATGATTACACAAGGAATGAGGCACTGCTCAGCCCGCGTAAGGTCATCTGTCCTTGCTGGCTCTACCATTTTCCTGTTAATCTAGCTGAGATTGAAACATCCCAGACAAACAGTCGCTGTTTATAAACTTCTCCTTGCTCATACAGGGGATCTGACACATCTTGGATGAGCCAGACTCTCTGGATCTATAGCATGAAGTTGTTTGCAGACGTGTGGTTGATCTGAGGTGCTCGGGATGGATCTGTTGCATGTGCAGATCCATTGCACTGGGCTCTGTGTGGCTCATGGACATCCAGGGACGATTATCAGTCATTGCAGTCTGGCCTTACACCGCTTCTTTTACCGTCTCTGCCGAGGGAGAACAACTCCCTTGGCTTTAACGCATTCCCATTTGCTATTTTCTGCAAGTCCTTTAAAAGGATCTCAGGATTTCAGGGGACAAGGTGTCTCCACAGGTGATTTTGTGGGGGAATGTACTGAAACACCTTTCTTGAACCATCAGCTGAACTGCTCCATGACTTGCAGGGGATCCAACCACTTGGTGTGTCTGCCCATCAGTCCCTCCCCTAACAACTTCTTAGCCCATCGGTCAGTGCTAATCAAATTTGATCATGAAATAGAGACCCCAGAGAGGCTTTTTCCTCCAATCTCCATGGAAATAGGCAACCAGCAGAGAAGAACAACTTTATACAAGGAAAAGGCTACAGCCTCAGTTCAATGTGTTTAGAGATCAAGACAAATACTGGTGGGTTCTGCTCATCACAGACATCTTTGCTGTGTGTCAGCCTCCCAGTACTTCTGGTCAGACACAGTCTTGCCACTTTGCCACATGTTAAAAAAAAAGGTTGCATCAACTGGAGGACTAAGCTGTTGAGGTTTTGTTGTACTCCTCTTTTCTGGATGCTTCCCAAGAGCCTCTGTGGAGAAGCTGGAGGCAGGGATGGGATGGACCTTTTGATTTAGAGCGGGCATGGACTGCTGTGACGAAAGGCACGGCTTAGTTTAATGCAGCCGTAAGCCACGGACAGAAAATGCTGCTGTTGTAATTGTGGCAATACAGCCTACCTGTGTGTGTAGATGCCCACATTTTGGTGTAAAAACGTGTGTGCTTTTGCACCCCACTAAGGTGTACTGAAAAGAGTCTGTGTCTTAAAAAAAATAGTGTAGTGTGAAAAGAAATCTGTGAAAAACAGGAAGGCTGGAATAAACCAAGGGTCTGCGACCTGTGTTGACACAATTATGAGTCAGTTCATACCTTTTGGTTCCCTCTGTGTTTACAGGAGACTCTGTGTTTGACTATCCATCATCTGGTGTCTTACTGAAAGACTTGCTTAGTAACCCCTTTTTTCCCCTCCTTCTTGTGCACAGAAACAAAAATCAAAACACCCGAGAGAAACACTGCTTTTTGATAAATAAACAAACACTGGAAACATCTTTATTAAAAGTGCCATTTAGCCAAGGAGCTATTTTTTTGGATTGCACTTAAAAGCAACTTCTTTTCTCCTTTCTTTTTTGTCCAAAGTACGCAAAACCTTTTGCAGGGAAATTCAGTGGCCTTCATTGTGTGCTAATTAAATAGGCAAGTGAAACAGGGATGCTATGCTAATACCTTTACTGGGCTCTGAGAGAGGCTTGTATATGTATACTTGTATACTATGAATGGCTAATGTATGTTTCTATTTGCAGCCCTCTTCCCAGCTGTATTTAATTGTATTAAAACAGCTAGCCCTTTCCAGGTTAATATTGGCATTAGCGGCCATTTCAATCGATGACAACCGGTATTTGAGACACTAGTGACAATGACTCATGTGGTGGATGCTGCTAGTCGATGGTGTTCTGCTATCTTTAAAATTCACAGATGATAGCTTAGCAAAAGAGAGGTGTTTCAAGGGAAGGGAAAAAGTAGCAAGGCGCAGCTTTAAAAATTCCTGCATTTGATGAACACGGCATGAAGAGATGCCACAAGTTAGGGATACCCACTAGTTTAAAGGCCATCAGTAAACAAAAATATAAGAAAAAGTTGTAATTTTAAAGGCCAGAATGTCTTTTTGATGATAAAAGATTCTGGATGTCTGTAAATATTTCTGAATGACGCAAAAGGTTCTGTTGGTTAAAAGTGTGGAATTTTTATTTATTTTGCTCAGACCCATTCTGTGCTTTTTTCTTCCGTAAAAAAACTGCTTGGGTGAAAGAGTTGATTATTCTGATCTTTGGCAAATTTTCTTTCGCCACTGTCCAAATGCTATATAATAAATCAAGATTTTTTTTTGCCCATAGATTGAAGTTCGTGGGGAAACTGCCACAGAATGTGTCTGCTGTTTGTTGTATAGAGTGATTTGTTGCATTATTGCAGGAAACATTAACTCCTTCAGTAAAGCAGTTTCTGATTGTGCGTAGTACTGAGGTAGAAGGAGAACTCTGATGATTTCTCATGTTAAATATTTATATTCAGTGAGATTTCACAGTCAGAAAGATCAGCCCCGTTAATACTAGTTTTGCCATGGTTAGTTTAAAAAGAGAAAAAAAATCCTCCCTGTGCCATTTAACCTCTTACGTGACATTTGCGTCCCATTTATCCAGGGTAAAAATAGCTTGAGCTTCCAATTCTGGCAGGTTCTTTTCAGCATTGTTAAAAATACAGTTCTGTGTGAGAAACACTTTGTAGAGACGGTGAACAGAGTAAGTGGGACAAATCGAAACCACAGAGTTCACATGCTCACTTTTTACAAAAGCTGGCTCTTTTTTCCCCCTGCTTTTTTTGTACTGTACTTTTTGAGACACGATCAAGACCTTCACCTACATGATTTTTTTTTTCAGTCACTTTGGAATTTTTCTACCTGGAGGCATATTAATGGTGCAGGCTCTGCAATGGGATTCAGACCTACCTAAACGAGTTTTTTTTAAGCCGCCAGCGTGGGCGCTGATAGCAATCAAGCAGCAGCGGTATGGACATCAGTGACAGTGAGATGCTTGAGTATTTATCCAGCTTCCTAGAAATGCTTTGCAGCCTGCACTGAGCTCCATCCTGTGGCAGAAAGACTGCTACTATACCCCGGTTATCTCGTTTAAAGGTAGCTTGGGCACCTCGGCTCCGCGGTGCTGGGGCATCCTTCATGAATTCCCACCAGCTGTTCTTGGTTCCTTGGCTTCAGAGGTTTGCCAGTGCTGATGATAAACACATGGGTGAGGGCTCTTTGTAAAGAAAAGCGTGAGTTTCCAGGTTTACTCGCAGGGAAAGCTGGCTCTGAGAGATCGAGTGACAACATGGCATATCGCAGTTCATCTCGGGATAATGTGTCTGTGTGGGACCTTGTCCCGCTTCGG